ATGACATATGAAGAACTACAATGCATGGTAGCTCATGATGTGTGGCCAGGGACTCGTGAATATAAAATGAAGTACACAGTTAGCTTTGACCGGGATACATTCTTGGATCTTGTTGACGATATTGGTGTTGGACAAGTAATTGAGTACAACAATAGTAGTGGCCATGTTTATGTTTGTGAGAATGAGAAAGACTTCACACAAGTGTCACAGCTGGACAGTGTACAAGAGTAAGTTGTTCTCAACTGGTTTTATTAAGATTGTGTGTAGGATAAGAAAGAATATGTCCAATTTTGATAAATTGAACTGTAATACTGAATAGCTGTATTTGTTTATGCAGGTTAGATGATTTGGTTGGCCCTTGTGGAATGTCAGTATCTGCAATGGAATTGGATCTAGACACAGACAACATAAACATATCTTCCGTACAAGATGTGCCAACACTGATAGGAAGTGTAGGTATGGAAACGTTGCCAACCCCAATAGCGGTGATGAATTCATCAAAGTGGGCAGATTTGTTGATGTCAAGAGGGCAAACCTTTGTTAGTGCTGAACATTTTAGAGAGGCATTATATAAGTATAGCCTTGCACACAAGTTTGGTTACCGGTACGTAAAGAATGATAGGCATAAGATGATTGTGAAGTGCTGTGTAGATGGTTGTCCCTGGGAAATTTCAGCATATGGTGTAGGTGAGAATAATGGATTCCTAGTTGTGAGAAGATTTAACTATGAACACTTGCATTATGCACAAGACAACTTAGTTGTCCCTCAGAGAAAGAGGTGCAAACTTGCTTCAGCAGTCATAATAGATGAGTTGATTTCTTGCATGCACAAAGCTCCAAATGACATTAGACGGGATTTGGAAAGAGAGTATGGGTTGAGGCTCAACTACCAACAAGCATATAGGGCGAAAGAGAAAGCATTGGCAAAAATTCATGGTTGTCCGCAGGAGTCTTATATGCTAATCCCTTGGATATGTGAAAGGCTGAAGGAAAGTGATCCAGAAACGGTAGCAAAGTGGGTTGCATCATCAGATAATAGATTTCAAGCTGTATTTATTGCATACGGTTGCTGTGTAGAAGGGTTTTTGAAAGGTGGCAGACCTGTATTATATGTGGATGGATGCCACTTGAGTGGTCCGTACAAAGGAACGTTATTGGGAGCACAAGCGTATGACGCGGATAATGAATTATTCCCACTTGCATATGCGATTGTTGGAGGTGAGACGCTTGATGACTGGGCATGGTTTCTTGGTAACATAAAGGATATTACGGGCTCATTAGAAGTGACAATAGTATCGGATAGACACAACTCAATAAAAGGTGCAGTGCAAGCCGTGTTTGGAGGAGATCGACATGCTTTTTGCTACCGTCATGTGAAGGAGAATTACAGTGCTGAGTTTTTGAAGATAACCAGGGGAAAGAGGAGGACCAGCGGACAGACAAAGGAAGTTGCACTAAAATTACTTGATTCTATTGCATACGCAAGACTTGATAGAGACTTTGATTGCAGTATGGAAAAGCTAATGGCATTTTGTCCAGAATTAGGACAATGGCTTCAAACAAATGGAGACATTGAGCGTTGGGCACAAAGCAAATTTCCTTACAAGAGGTGGGACAATATCACAACAAATCTAGCCGAATCCTTTAATGCTTGGCTTGTTGGTGAGAGGAAGCACAACATAGCTGTCTTGATACATGAGCACAGGGAAAAATTGGCAAACAAGATGTACCACAGCAAAGAAGCCATGACGAATTGGAGCAATGGTGTGGGACCTAATATAGAGGAAAAGTTGATGGATCATGTGGCCAGATCAGAAAGAATGGATGTGCAAAATTATGGAATGAACAATTTCAGGGTCAGATGGGGAAACCTAGATGTGCGGGTAAATCTTGTGTTACGTGAATGCACCTGCAAAGGTTGGCAAATGTCAGGACTACCTTGCCCACATGCATGTGCTGCAATCAAGAAGGTATATGGTAATATATATGCATATGTCGAGGATTGCTTTTTACTCTCAGCCCAAAAGAAAATTTATGGCAGACTCATGATTCCAGTTGAGACCCATGACATCCCTAGGCCAGATTCCCTTCGATATGAAGATTACTCGTCCACCATCTTCCTACAACCACCATTGACAACTCGGCGTGCTGGAAGACCCAGAGGTAGGAGGATTGAATCACAATTCCAGCAGAAGAAAGCGTATCATTGCTCAGGATGTGGTGAAGCTGGTCACACTAGAAAGATTTGCACTAACCCGAACCCTGGGTGACTTTGTTGCTCAAAATGGTCTTTTATTTTTTGGTTCAACACACAGCTACTTTTGTACATAAATGAGCCCCACTATGTAGTTGTTGAGTTGTTGGGGAAGTAGCTATGACAACCCATTTTGATTTTTTGGTGGTGGGTTCGATTATATTTTGTATAGTGGTGTCAATAGTTGAAAAATTTCATGACAGTAGGTGACTATAGCTGTCGCAGGATATGTTAGGCTGTAATCTGTCCACATGCGAATGGACTATTTTTAGTTGTAAATATTTGTATGTATGTTGCAAATTGTGTAATGTCACTTGCAAACGGAGATTCCCCTGCCTGTCCACTGACGGACAGCTTCTTCGGGTGAAGGTCGTCATATGTAAATGGACTGATTACAGTTGTGAATATATATATATGTATGTTGCCAATTGTCTAATGTCACTTGCAAATGGTATACGAAACCATACTTGGACAGCTTCTCCAGGTGAATCAGTCCACATGCAAATGGACTATTTTTAGTTGTAAATATTTGTATGTATGTTGCAAATTGTGTAATGTCACTTGCAAACGAAGATTCCCTTGCCTGTCCACTGACGGACAGCTTCTTCGGGTGAAGGTCGTCATATGTAAATGGACTGATTACAGTTGTGAATATATATATGTATGTTGCCAATTGTCTAATGTCACTTGCAAATGGTATACGAAACCATACTTGGACAGCTTCTCCAGGTGAATCAGTCCGCATGCAAATGGACTATTTTTAGTTGTAAATATTTGTATGTATGTTGCAAATTGTGTAATCTCACTTGCAAACGGAGATTCCCTTGCCTGTCCACTGACGGACAGCTTCTTCGGGTGAAGGTCATCATATGTAAATGGACTGATTACAGTTGTGAATATATATATGTATGTTGCCAATTGTCTAATGTCACTTGCAAATGGTATACGAAACCATACTTGGACAGCTTCTCCAGGTGAATCAGTCCGCATGCGAATGGACTATTTTTAGTTGTAAATATTTGTATGTATGTTACAAATTGTCTAATCTCATTTGCAAATGGGCCCTTGCACACCTGTTCACCCACGGACACCTCCTTCAGTACGAGTAGGTCAGATGCAAATGGATTATTTATAGTTGTGAAAATATGCATGTATGGTGTGAATTGTCTAGTCCCACTTGTAAATGGGCTGTCCCACACTTAAGTAAGACGCATGCATCAGGTGAATCAGTCCACATGTGAAGCCAAGTATGTGTCTTGCAAATTAGCTAGTCCCCCTTGCCAATATGAACGGACGGATTCCACGTGTGAATATAGGTATGTATTTTAAAAATAGGCTAGTTCCCCTTGCAAATGCGCTCTCCCGCACTTGTTCCCTCACGGACACATGCTTCAGCTGACCAGTCGACATGTGAACGGACTGATTCCACGTGTGAATATCGGTATGTGTTGTGCAAATTGGCTAGTTCCCCTTGCAAATGCGCACCCTGTTCAGGTCAAGGACGGCACATGTAAATGGACTGATTACAGTTGTGAATATATGTATCGGAGTAGCAAATTCCCTAGTTCCTCATGGAAATGGACACCTTATTCAGGTGAAGGAGGGCACTTGCATATTTAAGAGGACACGTTGTTCAGCAGATGAACGACACTTGTGAATGCTCTAATTGCTGTTGTTAACTTATTTGTCTCTCTTGCAAATTGTCTAATCGTTCGTGCAAAGGTCTAATCCCTGATGTAGGTTGTTCAGTTGGAAATGGACGAACATTTGGTGTTAATTCCTGTTTTTTTGGTGCAAATTCCCTAATTTTTGTTGTTAACCGTACATCTAATGAAAGTAAACAAGTAGTGATAATATGAATCCATCAAAACAGTCTTCATTAACATCGTTTGTATGCACAACATTTTAGTCTGCATAAAGTGTTCACAACAACAATTACAGTGCTTATCAGCAAAAACTACAAGGTAGGAATTTGATCAGTCATCGCTTTCTCTTGCGTTGTCTGTTAATGTGGTCAAGGTGTTTGGTAACAGCATCTGACTTGATGTTTCTTTGATGCGTCACGAGCCACCACAATAGCTCACACCGTATAGATGTGTATTGATCCTATGGGACAACAACAACTGTTCTCAGTAAGTTGACACAAATGCATGATGTCATTAATATATAATTCAACACCTACCGCTGTATAATAAGGCATGGTGAATAGAACTCCATCCTTCTCTTGTGGGTTGGGCCACTCTCTTAGATATGTGATGACATGAACCCCACAATCATCACTGAAAAAATGAACACATCACTATGCTGGCTTATGTATGTCGATTATAATTTATGACAAATAACTTTCAGTGAACAAAAGACTCACGTATTGTCTTGAACATGAACCGTGGGATACAAGATGTCATTGTTTGAATCTGGGTTGGCCAACCCCTCCAGCTCAGGCTTCACTCTCCTTAGTATTTCAATGAAGTGTGCCCTCTACACAATTACAGATGATTATCACACAGGGGATACTATGGTTGTCCAACACAAAAGTAGCAGAATAATTACACCACTTACAAAAGTTTGCGCCATCATTTGCTGCCCCTTTAATGCTGGATCAGACTTATTCTTCTTCTTTTGGTGCTTCATTGTATCCTCACCACCACGCAGAGAGTCCAGCACATAAAACTTTAGTGTGCTCGGTTCAAACACAAAGCAAAACCAATGCAGTGCAAACACAACAGGTGCAAATATGTATTCACATTCAGCCAAATTGTATCCCACGTGTTGGGGAAGTAGTTCTTTCAGGTGTTTGTCCACTTGCCATGCTGTGTGTTGCTGCACCATCCTTGCCTATCACAACAGCAAATTGCACAGCAATGCAAATTGTCAGTGAAGAAACTGTATCGATAACTTTATTGCACAATTTAAAGCATTGATCCATTAACAGGGGATAGCACTAACCGTGAAATCTGCATCAAATATGTGTCTTTTAACCGCAGAGGCACTCTCATGTTGGTCAGCGTTCAAGGTGTGGGCAATCAGAGTCATGATCTGTAGAATAAAGGAGCAGGAAAATTAAATTAAAATTGTGGCACATTCCATATATGGCCACTTTGATGTAACTTGAATAGGTGCACGTACCCTGTTGCTTATCCACCTTCTGGGACCCAGTGCTTGTAGGTCTGATCGTGTTGCCAAATGCCCAAACATATCTACCATGACCCTACAACAAATATGAAAGTGAAAATAAGTAGTCAGTGTTGCATAGTAGTATTATTCACAGGCTGTCTTTTCCATAATAACTGACTATACTTACTCTTGAGCCTCATCTGGTTGACACCACTCAGTACACACAGTATAAAATGCATCCCTGTCACTCATTTTCACCTTTCTGCCATAAGTAGACATGTAAGGAGATTTAACTGCTGGGACTTTACGTCTACTTGACCTCCTTGTGGGTAGCTGCACTGCTTTGCCCACCATTTTCCCTTCTTCCGTTTGAGCTGCCTGTTCATCTTCAGTATCCTTATCTGCAGCTTCATCTTCTCTCACATTGTCGTTCTCGTCTTCATCTTCCTCTTCTTCTTCTTCTTCTTCTTGCTGTTCATCATCATGCAATTTGTCACCACTTTCATGTGTTTCTCCGCTCTCTACAGTCATAACTTCATCATGTTGTGGCCGCTCATTTTCATCCTCCTCAGTGTGGTGTTCTTTTCCTTCTTCTTCATTGCCTCCCCGGTTAAGAAGTTTATTTTCCAGCTTAACTAATTCATCACAAACTAAGTTTTGAATCTTGGTCATCTCATTGTTCATTGTTCAATGTGTTGTTGAAATTGAGCCAAAACTCCTTAATGTCCTGCACATTGTAAATGTATGTCATCAAACAGATATTAAGTCTCACCAACAGACATTATCACATTGGTATTACTCACCGGATGATGGAAACTTGTACTGCTCCCCGGTTGTGTTGACTCATTCACTTCAGCAGCGGGTGGACTGTAGAAAATGCCATGTCGACTCTCCTTTTCCGCATCAATTCTCCTCTTCACAGCCTTATCATCCCAATGTCTGACGGCGTCTTTGTCTTTTGGTTCACCTCCCTGTAGAGGGAACCTTTGCAGGAAGTGCAACTGCAGAGAAAGAAAAAATATGACTCAAAAATCAAATTACATAATACATCAACAGTTTAATGTTCAAAGCATATCCAACAGGGCATATTTTGTAAGGAAATATGCAAGTACCAATAAAAAGTAGATGCACCCTCCGACGACTCTGGCACTCTCGGTCTGTCCTTCCTTACTGCTCCTATTGTACCGTTTAATTTCCTCACTGAGCTCGTCAAGCACAAAGGAAGCCCAGTCAAATTTTTTCCAGTTATTTTCTGTGCAGGCCATTACTTTTAGCACCTTGTCACTCACACTTGCACTTCCCGTGGGACAAAGAAGAGTGCCCACTGTGAAAAGAACAAAATAGAATTCAAAGTTTCCATCTTCTTCATCACTCTTTATCTTCTCCGCAATTTGAGAATATGTCAGTGGAGTATAGTCCTTCTTCAGCTCATTTACTTCATCCTTGAAGCCATCCAACTTCACTTTGGAGCCCTTATCTGGTAACCCAAGAACCCTCCTAACATCTGTACACGTGACCTTCTTTGTCTTCCCCCTTATGGTAATTTGTTTACTTGGGGGGTCATATGCATGAATCAACTCCAGACATAAATCTCTGGGCAGCTTATTCAAAGTAATACCAAGAAGATGACCAAACCCCATTTCTTCTACCTTGCGCTTTAAATTTTCTTTGCCATTTATAAACTTTGCCACTTCCTTGAATTTTGTGGGGGAGCACCGAGTAGAAAATGGGGACACATATTTCTCCTTCTTCTTCTTCTCCTCTATCAGCTGTTCCTCCTTCTTCCTGTACGGCTCCCTGTCAGCATCACTCATCTCCCTCCAAATTGCTGAAGCCGCATCTGTGATTGCTCCCATATTTCCATGCATCTCCTGCTTCTTTTGCTCCCAATATTCTCCCTTGAATACTTTCCAGCCGGTAACTTGTGCGTCCTTTTTTCCCATCTTCTTCCTGTATCCAATAATCACAAAGTCATTAGTTAGTACATTAAACAGCAACATTCATACCATCCAACATTTCTTGTAACATAAACCCGGAAATTATATACACACTAATTATTATTGTTAAATCCTTAACTTGTCATACGACAGGACATCAAATTGTTACATGCAGGTTAACTGGATAATGACACCATTCTTCGTGTAAATTAGCTAACATTCATTGTCAGGCCACAAAAGATCAGATTCCAACTAACATTAAATTATGCAACAGAGGTGGTTAATTAACTACTTTTTCATGTCAATTCCCTAACTTTCACACTCCAACACAGATCAAACAATTACACCGGCGAACAGTCAAAATTCTGCTAATTGCTCATGTCAATTGCCTAATTTTCCCTGTGAGGCCGCTGCAAACCACATTCCCACAAACATGCAATTATGCAGCAGAGGTGGTTAATTAACTAATTGTCGAGGTAAATTTCCTAACTTTCTCAGTCCACACGCATCAAACAGTTACACATAAGCTAAGTGGAAATCCAGCTCACTGGTGGTGTCAATTGCCTAATTTTCCCTGTGAGGCAACTGCACACCAAATTCCCACAAACTTAGTGGGTAATTTACTGATTCTCCATGTAAATTTCCTAACTTGACAGATTCAACAAAAATATGAAACCGTCAGACAGGAGCTACGCGGATAATCCCCTAAATCCTCGTGTCAATTGACTAATTTCTCCTGTGAGGCCCGCTACGGATCACATGCCAACAAACATGAAATTTTGAATTGCCAGTTGTTACTTTACTGATTTTTCATGTAAATTCCCTAACTTCCAGAGTCCACCACACATCAACCACTTAAACAGAAGCTAAGTGGAAATTCACCTAATTGCTCGTCTCAATCACCTAATTTTCCCTGTGAGGCCGCTGCAAACCACATTCCCACAAACATGCAATTATGCAGCAGAGGTGGTTAATTAACTAATTTTCGAGGTAAATTTCCTAACTTTCTCAGTCCACCACGCATCAAACAGTTACACATAAGCTAAGTGGAAATCCAGCTCACTGGTGGTGTCAATTGCCTAATTTTCCCTGTCAGGCAACTGCACACCAAATTCCCATAAACTTAGTGGGTAATTTACTGATTCTCCATGTAAATTTCCTAACTTGACAGATTCCCGGAAACATGAAAACTGTTTGACATAAGCTAACTGGATAAACCCCTAATTCCTCGTGTCAATTTCCTAATTTTCCTTGTGAGGCCACTACAAATCAGATTCCAACAAACATAGCTGGTAATTTACTGATTCTTCGTGTAAATTGCCTAAGTTGACAGATATATGCACACATGAGGTTGTCACATGCAACTGGTTAGTCAACTAATTCTTCACGTCAATTGACTAACTCCCATTGTTAGCCCACAAAATCTCACATTCCAACAATCAACGGGATAAACCAAACAAAACAAACTCATTTGCCTAATCCATACGACAACATTTGCCCCTCCCAATTCTTTTCCTTATTCCTGCAAAATGCCTACAAACACTATAGCAATGCAGTTAACTACCAACACTAATTTTTCCCTAAATAATTAATAACTTTCTTACTTAGCCCCCACACAAACTCTTCATGCTACACTCACAAGCGTTCGCTCACTAAATCAGGAGCATTTGCTAAAGGGCAGTCAGGGAAATGGCCGAACACTATGTGACACATTGGTAATCATTCCTGGGTTAGAACCTAAATGTCATTACCAAACACACCCACCTTTCAGTGGGTCATTCCTCCTTAACCTACCATGAAAACAAAATCCAAGAAATCTACTGCATTTAACGGGGACCGCGAAGCTTACCAAATGGAAATCAGTGACTTCTTCTCGCCCTGCTTCTTCCTTCTTTGTCGATAGCCTTGCAAGTTTCCTCCTTTGTCGGCCTCTTCTTATTCTCCTTCCGCTTCTAGTGATTACCACGAACCCGCAGATTGAAGCTGATGGAATTTTTGGGGGCCACGTCGAACACTTTTCGCAGATTGCGAGAGGCAGGAATCTTCCCACAGAGGTAGCACGTTCGCAGTCGGGAGAGGGCAGATTTTTCGTAGAGTGGTAGCACGTTCGCAGACCGAGAGACGCAGCAGTTTTCCCAGAGTGGTTGCACGTTCGCAGAGCGGGAGAGGGAACACTTTTCGCACACGGGTTACGTTCGCATATAGAGAGAGAGCGGGAGGACTTTTGACCGTCGCTTTTTCGCCTTATTTTCAAATTTCAGCGGAAGTAAAATGAGGGGCAGTGGCGTCATTTCGCTTGTGGAATTAATATCAGATTGGCCCCTTGGTCCTGCAGTGAGATTTCAGAATGTTTTGGGGGCTCTTTGAGATTATTTGTCTTCTGCGGTCCTACAGTGAAATTTCCCTAAAAATAACGAGTCTGACTTAACTTTATTTTAGTCACATTTTCCATCGACTTAAGTTTTTATTTAATAGTGTTCACGTAAAAAAAAAACAAGAAGAAAAAAAAATCATACCTCCAATAGTCTCCTGGGGCAGAGCTCTTTGTTCTAGCCATCAGATCTCTGGCCACGGTGGCAGGAGACGGATTTCAAAAAAAA